CTTCCTCTGCTGCTCCCCCGTTTTGTCCTCTCTCTCTCTCTCTCTCAAATAGATAAATAAATAAGATCTTTAAAAAAGAGCATGACTTACTCCTTGCTTCTGCTGTGAACCCTTGCTCTTCTTCCTCCCTCCCCCCATATTTCCTGTAAGTCACTGGTTCTCGGCCCTCTGGGAACTTTCACAAAATACCCAAGCCTGCACCCCGACTTCCACCTTCTGATTTAATTGGATGGGGCCTGGGGTGTGGGGACTCTGACATTCACCCAGAATCTAAGGGTGGGCCATGGTCACTGCTGAGAAACAATAATCCAAGGGCTTCATCCAATGACTGCAACTACCTGAATCAGTTCTTTCATTGGGGATTGCAAAATGGCAGTTTATCTAATCTTTCTATCTTTCTTTGGGGAGGTGGATTTTGTGGAAGCTAAAATGAGCACGTGTTGTATTTGCATTTGCAATCACCTCCTGCTTCAGGAAAGAACACACCAGTTTCCTTTGGAGCCAGCCCACCTCTCAGATTTCTGTCCCTAAGCTGGACCGTCACGTGGCCTCAGCCAGCCAATCAGCACGTTCCATCTCTCCGCCTGCCGTTCAGGTTCAGGTGTGGGCGTGGGCCCCAAGCTGGCCATGGGTACTCGTTTTGGGGACTTGGGATAAGATGACCAGTTCCCTTGAAGCTCACCTCACCTCGCGAGGGCAAGGCTGCGGAGCAAAGGCACAAAGAGCAGTTGAGAAGCCTGGGACAGTATGTGAGTCCGTGGGTCTAGCTCCCACTTGAGCTCTGCAGTTCATACATTCACTCAACAAACATCTAGGGTGCGCCGGCTCTAAGTCATAAATGAACTACTTTTACTCATGACACTTCTGACATCAAATGTGTGTGTGTGTGGAGGGGTTTCACACCAAACGATTCTCTCCGGGCACCAACTGAGTGTCCTAGAGTTCAATTCTGACATTAACTACCCAGTGTTTGAGGCAGATACCACAAACTTTAGGGCTCTGTCCGACTAGACTGCCCCCACTTCAGATGCCAGTTTCAAGTATTGGGTCTCCAGGGGACTCATACTTCTGACTGACTTGGCTCCAAAATCAGGGGGCTCCAACAAGGCTTGATAGATTGTCAGACTTGATAATTAGAATCTCACAGAGCTCAGTAAGCACTTTAGTTACTATTATTAGTTAATTATGAAAGGATATATAAATCAAGAACAGCCAAACTCGTAGGTAAGGTATGGAGAAGGCGTGCAGAGCTTCCATGTCCTCGGCCGGCATGCCACCCTCCTAGCACCGTAATGTGTTTCTAATCCAGAAGCTCTCTGAATTTTGAGCAGGGAGGCGGCGGGGAGCAGACTCCCCACTGAGCAGGGAGCCAACGTGGGGCTGATCCCAGGACCCTGAGATCATGACCTGAGCCAAAGGCACTTAACCAACTGAGCCGGCCAGGTGCCCCTTGTTTTTTAGGCTGTTATGGAAGCTTCATCACTTAGGTATGATGGATAAAATCATTGGCCATTGGTGATTAACTCAATCTCCAGCTTGTCTCCCCTCCACTTTAAGGTCAGGGGGCTGGGTTCATGGTTCCCACCCTCTCTAGTCGTGGTGTGGTCTTTCTGGAGACCAGCCCCCCTCCTGAAGCCACCTAGAGACTCCCCACCACCAGGCCTCTCATTAGCATACAAAAGACACTCTTATCACTCCAGAGATCCCAAGGGTTTTAGGAGCTGTGTGCTAGGAACCAGCGACAAAAACCAAATATTTCTTTTTTATTGTATCAAACAGGAACTGAGCTGGGTGTGGTGGTGAAAAATAAAACATCCCTGCATTTGAGGGACTGGTATTATATTGAAAGAGACACTTGTTTAAGTTAAACAAGTAAATATATATATTATATATATAATATACATATATATAAATATATAATAAGTATACAGTAGTTTTGATTCTAGGGGCTATGAGGGGGAGGACACAGGGAAAGGCACATCAGAAATGCTGCGGAGAGGTTGCAGTACTAAACAGGGAGGGGAGAGGAGGGAAAGGGGGGCCAATGGGAAGGTGAGATTTGCACAAAGACCTGAAAGAGGGGGTGAGTGAGAAAAGCCATTTGACTTCAGGCAGATGGACCAGCCAGTGCAAAGGCCCTGAGGCAGGGGCCTGGTGTGTTCAAATAGCAGCAAAGTCAATGTGACTGCAGCAGAGCAAATGTGGGGGGGCAAGTGGGGAGAATTGAGGGAAGTGACAGGTCAGATCACAAGGGACCTTGTGAGCTGCTGGGAAGACTCAGGCATTTACTGAGTGGGAGCCACAGAGGGCTCTGAGCAGAGGAGCAATGGGAAGACTTGGGTATTCACAGGCTCCCTCTGGCTGTTGTGGGGAGGACAGATCATCTTCCCTACCACACAGCAAACTTCCCAGGGCCAAGGTGGTGGACATGAGGCCTGGCTAGAGGCAGCCCCAGACCTGAGCCTCCTCCCTAGCCTGATCCAGGTTCTGCTGCATTACACATGGCCCTCGACCAACCATCTACTTGGCTGTGAATCAACCGCCCTCTTCCTGAAAACCACGTTTCACTAATGGCAGTAAAAGAACAACTGCATCGGGGCATAACGGCTTTATTTTCTCTTGTGGATAAAAGTGTTCGTCTTTCCAAGTGGACATCAAGGAATCGCTTACACGGGAGAACCACATCCAGTACATAAATGACTGAGTCGAGAGCTCATTCCGTAGTGTTTTGGGATCGCTGGGAAGAAGCCAGCTTGTGGAATTAGCACTTCAACACCGAGACCAAATTTCACCCCTTACTTACAAGAACATGATCTCTGGGGAGGCCAAAGAAAGAAAAGGAAAAAGCAGAACCCCAAACCCCCAACCCCAAACCGTGGTCATGGCAGTGGAAAGATGAGCTGCTAAAAGCAAATGGTGAGAATATAGGACCCAGCCTCAGGCTCCCTTCCCAGACTCCGGTCTCCCTGGAGTTGAGAAGTGGTTTTCCCGCAGCCTTTGGCTTCATTTTTGTTTGTAAACTCAACAAATCTCCATCCCTCTGACCAGGTACCACCCCCCCAACGTGATCTCCCAGGACAGTGGTTTTGGTTCCCCAGAGACCATCGTGAGTGAAGCCTCCCACCCAAAATGATAAAAACTTGCATTATTTTTAGAAGAAACAACAAAAAACCCTCTCCTACATTATTCCCAATTTTGAGAAAACCCAGAGGCAGCTAGTTGTCTCAGTTGCTACTTAAAGCTCAACTGTTCAAAAATCATGTGTAAACACAAGGCTTACCTCACGTCAGGTACAAGGCACAGCCAAAGCTGTTTTTTATCATGTGGGCTATGACAAGTTGGCTCATCCCTTAGGTAATGGCACTTTGAACCACCTTTTTTTTTTTTTTTTTTGGCAAGCAGCTTAAGGAAAATGGGGTGGCCTACAGAATCTTGACAGCCTATGGTGCATCTTAACAGGTTTTTTTTTTTTTTTAATAGCTCCTTTCATTTCCCCTTTATGTTAACGCAGCTAACATTTCTGACTCCTGCCCCCAAACATTCCCCAAACTCACTGTATGTTTCCAGAAACTTGTCCATTTCACCAGTCATCTGGCTTGCTGGCTTACAGATACCCTCACTTTGAAGCTCTAAGGGCAGCGCTTGGTAAGGGATGAATGGGGCTCTCTAGAAATAAATTCGAAGTAGAGCTTCTATAAAGGTTAAGAGCGAAGTTCCACTTGAACCAGATCTTCCTCACTTGCAGGAGGAGGCTGAGATCTTTAAGGCTACAGCAAGTCATTTTGGTGGCAGGGGCTGGGGGCGTACACAAACCATCTGTTTAGACCATCTTCACAGTGTCTGTCAAATTATGGATGTTAGTTGGTATGCCAGGGCACAAATGGGTACCATGCCACTGGAGTTTGGCCTTGGGTGGGCAGGAAGAACACTGAGCTGGGGTGGGGGGGTGTGGAGAGCAAGATGGAGATCCCCAGACTGCACAAAATCTCCCAGCAGAAGCCCCCGCCAGCTGGGGACCCCAGCCTTGTGGGCTCCCTGATCGTGTGTCAACCAGGAAGACTGATTCCCAGCCCATCCCCATCAGCCTGCCACTCCCAAGCTGTGTCCGTGAAGCACATGTAGCAACAGTAATTACCCAATCCTGCTTTCTTGCCCCTTCAGCCCAACCCTATAGCCTCCCTTAGAGTCACTCCTCCCTTAGTAGGAAAATCACCTCTCTGGGCCTCACCAATGACGTGGCTCAGGAAATAGGACTCTGGGTCTTCAAGGGTCCTTGAGGGGTAGGAGCCCGAGTCCTTCTATCGGCAAGTCGCCAGCAAGAGCAGGTGATAGGACCATTGCTCAATTTCCTTTTCTAGCAGGATGGAAGATGTGGAAAGACCTTGCTTAAAACATCACCAGCTAAATGGGGCCTGGGAGAGGCAGGAAAGGGCGGGAGGTCCGGGGCTCCCGGCTCTGAGATTAACTCCCTGCAAAAAGTCCCGAGCAGGAACGCCACGGGTTGGGCCATTCTCTGCCAGTCTGATGCGGCCCATGGTTCCAGAATTCAATCCAGGGATCAGAGATGCTGCAGTGGATAAGCCAAAACAGTGGCGGGGGTGTGGGTGATGTGGAATCCTGGGGAAGCTCAGAAGGCACTTCTGGGGTCCCTGAAGCCGGTGGAGGGTGTGGGCCTCTGACTTCCTGCCCCTTTACTATGGGAAAAGCTGCTTTAATACTGCTTTCACAGGCACAGGATCTGCAGGCCGGTAGGGAAGGGTCTGTAAGGGCTAAAATCACCTCCCCACCTTGGAAGCTTGAGGTCCGAGGCGGTTCATGAGTGGGCCTGGGACCACACCAGGGGACCCTGAGAAAGGACTCACCTTCCACCTCCCCAGGGATGAACTCTGAGGACCCCCACTGCAGGAGGAAGACCACGAAGCATCTTCGACCAGCTTGTGAATGGGAGGCAATACCCCAACACAGAATGGACAAGGACAAGAGTTCTAACCCCAGAAGGCACTGTGGAGTCCCCTCCACCAGACGGGGTGGGACATGCTGCCCATGCTCCCTCCATTAGAATTCCTGAAAAGCAGCAAGCTCGTGCACATCAACGCACCCAGACTCTGCCCGCAATGCAGAATCCCCAGGGTCTGGAGCTTGGGATAAAGCTGCTCGGGCAAGTCAGAGGTCATGCGGGAGCCGGGGCAGCTGACGGGAGGGAAGGGGGCGCCCTGAGCTTGGAAACAGCCCTTGTGGCTCATGCCTCTGTCACAGTCCCTGCCAAGGCCGGAAGGGGTGGGCAGGGGTTGGGGACCATCTCTAGCAGCTGCAGCTGCTGGGCTCAGGGGGTGGGGCATCCCCCAAGGCCGGGCCTTTCCCATTGCTCCCCGGGCTGGAGCTGGGTTCTAGGGACTCATTCATCTTCTCACAGATGATGTCCACCAGGCGCTCAAAGACCTGCTTCACGTTGATGTTCTCCTTGGCGCTGGCCTCAAAGAACTCAAAACCTGGACGGACACAAGGTGGGAACACCAGTGAGACCCCCGGAGGGCAGAGCCTGGGCATCACCCAAACCTGGTTTCCAAGCCCAGGTCTGCCCTTCATGCAGTTGTGGGACCTTGGCTGAGTGCCGAAGTCTCTTGAAGCCTCAGCTGGCTCATCTGTAAAAAGGGAACAATGCTGATGCTGATAAAAATCTGCCCCGGTTTGGACTATTGCAAGAAACTCTTTGTCACAAAGCAATGACTGCAAGAGGCCAGCAAGTAATGTTCTGGTGCCCAGCAGGCATATAACAAACAGCGGGTTTCCCAGCGTCTGTGGGGCGTATGCGATGCCCACAGTCTTGACCTACAGAACATACTAAAGGTTGTAATAAAGAGGGGTGCCTGGGTGGCTCAGTTGGTTAAGCATCTGCCTTCGCCTTAGGTCATGATCCCAAGGTCCTGGGATCGATGCCCGCATTGGGCTCCGTGCTCAGCACGGAAGTCTGCTTCTCCCACTCTCTGCCCCTCCCCCTGCTTGTGCGTACCCTCGCTCACTCTCTCTAATAAATAAAATCTTTTTTTTTTAAAGTGGTAATAATGATAGTAAGAAATAAGAAGAAGAAGCAAACACCCAGGTGGGCCTAACTTATCTCTCATTTAAAAACAAAAAGCTTGTCCTGGGCGCCTGGGTGGCTCAGTTGGTTAAGCATCAGACTCTCAATTTTGGCTCAGGACATGATCTCAGGGTCCTAGGATCGAGCCCAGTTCCTTCTCCCTCTCCCCTCCGCCAAAACTAAAATTAAAAAATTAAAATTTTTTTTTAATTTAAAAAAGCTTGTCCTTCCAAAGGTGGAAGGTAGTACAAAGGCTTTGGGGACTTGCCCATGGTCCCTCAGCTGCAAAAAGTGGGGGCTGTCGACCTAACAATAAGGGTGTATGTGACAATCCTTCCTGCACCCCTAAAAGGTTGGCTCAGGCTCTCCCTACAGGGAGCTACCCCGAATGGTTCCCAATAGGTCCACACCCACCACACTCACCAAGTTGGGCCAGAAATTCAGACAAATGCCCGCCACATTACACACAGCATAGGATAAACAGGGCCCTATCCCAGCACTTGTCACGCTGTACTATAAAAATGTAATTACAATTAAATAATTATGTGTGTGTAATTATCCATTTACTATCCATCTCTGCTCCTGGAATGCCAGCTCTGGGAGGGCAGGATTGCTGTTTGCCTTGTCTTGTGCCTGGCACAGAGCAGGTGCTCAGAAACTACTTGCTGAGTGATTGACTGACTGATTGATTGAATGACGGAGGCAGGCCATGAACTCAGATCTCTTACTCCGAGCCTAGTGATCATCAATGTCACCCCACTGTCTTCCTAGGCAAGGCTGGCATATCCTTATCCGCGTGTGGCTCTGCCTCAAACAATCTGAGTTCTTTTTTTAACACTTTTTTTTCCTGATTATAAATATTCAGTGGAGAAATCCACTGAAGTTAGAAACTACTGAAAAATATCAAGATGGATATAAAAGCTATTTGTAAGCTCATCATCCAGAAACAATTACTATTGGTGTTTTGATATTTTGCTTTCCACTTTTTTTTTTTAAATATAAATACACAATTATTGGGGTTGGGTCTGTAGGGAGTATATGCATGCGTGTGTCGTTTTTGTCCTACAAAACTGGGGTCAAATTCTGTCTCCTGCTCTGTACGCCAATATTTTAAACTTAATGACAGAGTAGGAAGCCCCCTCACCCCCATTCACTAGATATTCTCTGCAAGGTGGGGGCAACATCCGCAAGTATTCCAGCCCATGGCTGGAAACCATAGCTGATTTCAACACTCTAGGCAAATTGGGGATCTAGGCCTCAGCTGCAAAGGCTGACTCCCCATGATACCTGGAAATGAGACCCAACCTGGAGTTCCCAGAAAACACAGGGAACAGAGGAGCAGGTTAAATGACACCATGAGGGAGCAAAGAGCCAGGTCTCAAATGGGAGATATTCCATAGAACAAAGACCCAGTTTGTCCAACAAATAAATGGTAAGAAGAAAAGAGAAAGAAGACTGTGTATAGTCCAGGGTCCCTGAACTTTCTCTGTAAAGGGCCAGTAAATATTTGAGGATTTGTGGGCCATTATGGGGTGCCTAGAGTTTCGTGGGCAAGCATCAACAACAGTTCACAATCATGCTAGCTAACACTTAGCTACAACTGCATGTGTACCAGACGGTGATACGGGCCTCCTGTGTCATAGCTCATTTAGGCCCCATGACAGCTTGATGAGCTGGGGCTGTTATAATCTTCATTTCACACAGGAGGAAGCGCAGGCCCAGACAGCTGAAGTTACCAATACAAGATCACAAGGTGATAGAGAAAGAATACGAGTTAATGTTCAATCAGGGCCAGTGTTGGCTTATTTCATCTTTCTAACAGCGCTCTGAAGGAGACACGGTTTTCACTCTGTTTTCCAGATGGAGAAATGGAAGCACAGAGAGGGGAGGCGATGTGCCTATGGTCACACAGCTAGTAGGTTGCAGAATGGGATTCGAGCTCCTGAGTCTGGGTCCTTAACCCACCCTCCCCTATGATGGTGGTTACACTGCCTCCTGCAAGGAAAGTTCTATGGAGGGCTTAGAATACTAGAATACTCCAGGCAAGATTTCCTTTTAGCTTAGGGGTGCCTGGATGGCTCAGTCAGTTAAAGCATCTGCCTTCAGTTCAGGTCATGATCCTGGGGTCCTGGGATGGAGCCCTGCTTCGGGCTCCCTGCTCAGTGGGGAGTCTGCTTCTCCCTCTGCCCCTCCCCCCAACTTGTGCTTGTGCGCCCTCTCTCTATCTCTCAGATAAATAAATAAAACCTTAAAAAAAAAAAAGATTTCCTTTTAGCCTAAATTTCCATTTATGTGATTCAAAAAGGTAGCCTGAAAACTCCTCCTCCCTTCCTGGTGCCCTGGTCCCCAGTTCTCGGACACACACGGGTCCCCACTGTTACTAGATCCTTCTGTATCCTTCCAGAGTTTCTTCGGGCACTCCTGCAGGGGCCAACAAACTTCGAGTCACAGGCCAGATCTGGCCTATCGCCTATTTTTGTAAACCAAGTCTTACTGACAGTCAAATTCATTCCTGTCAGCTCTCTGGCTGCTTTCAGGCAGAGCTGAGTGTGGTGACAGAGATTCTATGACCTTCAATATTTCCTATCTGGGGGCACCTGGGTGGCTCAGTCATTTAGCGTCTGCCTTCGGCTCAGGTCATGATCCCAGGGTCCTGGGATCGAGCCCCGCATCGGGTTCCCTGCTCCGCGGGAAGCCTGCTTCTCCCTCTCCCCTTCCCCCTGCTTGTGTTCCCTCTCTCGCTGTGTCTCTCTCTGTCAAATAAAAAATGGATAAATAAAAAATATTTCTGATCTGGCCCTTTAAGAAAACATTTGCTGAGCTACGGACTAAAGGAAGCAGCCAAGCCCACTTCTCTGCAGTTTGCTTTTCCCACCTAGCCCTATACCCCACAGACCTTGCCATAGCAGAACATAAAGAACGTGTCCATCCCTTTTCACAGCTGTGTAGTATTCTACCGTGTGGCTGTGCTTTATGCTTCGAGGCTTCCCCCATGGTGAGATACTTAGTGCTGTGCTGTGATACACTCGCCACTTCCCACATGGGTGGGGTGTTTGGAGGGTACATTTCCGGCCATGTTTTTGCCCAATCTGGCTTCCCAGGGCAGTGGGGAGGTGGGGAGTATCTGTCACTGAACTCTCTGAAATTAAATGCAGAAGGTGGCATACATGTGGGTATTTTTCTGAGTGGAGCCTCAAAGCGCAGAGGGTTGATGACTGTGGTTGGACCTGGGACCCAAGGGTGGGGGTGGGGGGAACTGGGGTTTAGTTCTGGGAGGTCCAGGGCCTGGGGCCCAGGCTGGGCACTAACCAAGGTCATCGGCGAGCCTCCGGCCATCCTCAGTAGGCACGACCCGCTCATCTTCCAGGTCACACTTGTTCCCCACAAGGATCACCTGAGCATTGTCCCAGGAGTAGGTCTTGATCTGTGTGGCCCTGTGGAGTTTGAGGGCCATGAGGCTAGACATGGAGAGTCAGGGGGAGAGGGCGATGGTCAGGGTGTCAGTGGTCCACAAGCACTCACCAGTCCTGCACGGCGGCGAAGGACTCCTGGTTCGCAACGTCATACATGAGCAGGAAGCCCATGGCTCCGCGGTAGTAGGCTGTGGTGATCGTGCGGTAGCGCTCCTGGCCCGCCGTGTCCTAGGCACACAGCAGGGTCAGGCCACCAGAAGCTACCCTGTTCCCCACCCAACCCCTGCAGGGCCCTAAGCAGGCCACCGCCCTGTGCTCACAGCCCCAGTCTGATGGGAGGCATGGCCCTGCCTTTGAGGAGTTCCCAGTCTGAGGGGTCAGTGGCCTCTCACAGACTTATACCTCATCTCCAAGAACAGACTTAGTGACCCCATGCAAGAGCCACCTGGGCCAGAGAGTACCATCTCGGGGCAGACACCCTGGTGTCCAGTCCCATGATAATCATTATCGGCGGCCATGTTGGGAGTGAGAGCCTCTGAGGAGCACACAGGCTCTGTGGGGGATCCTGGGATGGTACCCAAACCTCTTCCCCACTGGTCACCAGGACCTCTAACCCGCCTCGGGTTAGCACTCTCTGCCCCTCAGACCCTATAGGGCAGAGCATATCCTCATCCTGATGAATTCACCTCATAGATAACTCCCCCCCCCCCCCCCCCCCGCCACCTTTCACATCTACCCCAAGCCTCCTCCCTGACTTTGGCCCACTCTCGCTCACCCGGGGCCCCTCCGCACAGCCCTCCACCCTATCATGGACTTCCTTGGAGGAAGCCCAGCCCCTCCTGGGCTAGCACACAGACTCCCGTCCCTTGCCCCAGATCCACAATCGCCGCCTGGCCCACCCAGATCTGCAGCTTGATCCTCTTGTCATGGCGATAGACCGTCTTGACCTTGAAGTCGATGCCCACGGTGCTGACAAAGGCAGGTGTGAAGGAGTCGTCCGCATAGCGGAACAGGAAGGACGTCTTGCCCACGCTGCTGTTGCCAATGAGCAGCAGTTTGAACATGTAGTCGAAGTTCTGGTCGGCTGCATCCCGCGGGCCTGTTGGGGGGTCTCCGGCTGATGCCATCTTGGCAGAGAGCCTCCGGGGGGGGGGGCGGCTGGAGCCCTGCAGAAAAATAGAACACCAGGAATGGCTCCAGTGTACACACCAGACCCGGATTCAAATCCTAGCTCTGCCACTTGGAGGCCAAGTGACCTCAGAGGCATCACTTGCTCTCTCCGGCCTTCAGGGTCCTCCTCTGGAAAATGGGGAGGCTTATCCAATGCCAGGGCCCAAGTTGTGGGGGGCATATGGGGTGCCTCCTCTGGCCACTGAGGAGCCAGACCCTGCAAAAGGTACAGGTGTGGACTTTGCCCCAGAGTGAGCGGCTGGCTTGGCCCAGGTGTGGGCTGGGGGGAGGGGGGCCTGCCAGCTGGATAGAGGCCCCCCTCAGGGCCTGGGTGTTGACTTTGGCAGGGACACCTGCCCTGACCCCCCCCCCCCACCAATGCTGAGTTTAACCCCATCCCTGGCCTCCACGGGGAAGGGGGTTTTAGTAGATACAGCCCAGGTTTAAAGCCCAGCTCTAGCCCCAAATGGGTCCTGCCACCTTCTGTTTGTCAAAGGGGTGGGCCCCGTCTCCCTCCGGGCAGGGCTGACTCACCCCAGCTCCAGTCCACAGAGGCTGCAGTGACAGTCCTCAACTCTAAGGAAGCCACATAATAAGAACCCCACCACCACCACTCCTCTCTACCCCTGATCCTTCCTTTCTTGGCAATCTGTCCCCACAGCTGGGCTGCTTCATCTGGGCCCAGACACCCCCCTTAGCCTTCACGGCCTCCCGAGGCCTCAGTTTCCCCAGCTGCCTATGGCTACTCCTTGAGCTGCACAGGAAGGCTCCAGGAGGCCTGGGTGAATGGACGACACGCAGGCAGAGGAACCCTTAGCAAAGCTATTTCTCAACCGCCTGTGGGGCTTTTTTCCATTTTAAAAGAGGACCGAACCTGCCCGCTTTCCTGCCCAGCCCTCGGCCCCACCCGGTGTTCCGGGAGAACGAGTTCGATGAGGGGAAGACGAGAGGCAGGAAACCTTTCCCCATGCTGGGCAGGGCTGCCAGGCTGGGGCCCTTACCCCACCCCCAGCCCCAGCCCACCTGTCAGCCGGTCCCACCTCTTCCTGACCATCGGTCCCCCCTCCCTCACGCCTGGGACTAGATCAGGGTCCCCGGAGGGCTCGGCCCTGTTCCCCTGCTGGATTTGGGGCGCCCCCGCCGGTGCAGCGGGGCTCAGGAGCTTCCTCCCATCACCATATGGTCCCATCTCCTGTTCCCAGCTGGGCTCTCGGACCCGCCCGCGCCCCATTAACGCGGCTCGAGGAGCCCAGCTGGGTGGGGGCGAGGGAAGAGGCGTTTCCCCCACCGCCTGCCTTTGTTCCCCGGGCCCCGGGCCCTCCCTCTAGCCCCCCGGCCCCCCAGTTCTGCTGGGACGCGGAGGTGCGGGGCGGGGTGCGGTCCCTCGGAAGGGGTCACCTCGCGTGGGGGGGGGGGCGCTGCCCACGGGCGTTCCTCCTCCGAAATCGCTGCGGCCTGGCCCCAGCCGCGACACCGACCCCGCAGCCGCCGCCGCTACCACCGCCGCTGCCCGCAGCCACCCGGATCCCGCGCCGGCTCCGCCCAGACGGGGGAGGAGGGGCCGCTCCCGGGAGAGGGCGGGGCGGGGCCGAGTCCGGGGCGGGGCTTGCGAAAGCCCCGGGAGGAAGGGCTGGAAGCGGCACCAAGCTCCGGGCAGCCTAGGGCCCGCCCCCCAATAATAAACTCTTCACTTTTCCTAACTATATGTAGAGCTCCTACTCTTTGCACGGAAGTGAAGAGCGTAGATTCTGGAGTCAGGTTCGAATCCCAGCTCCTTCACTTTCTAGCTCGGTTTAACCTTGGACGTGTTACTGAACCTCGCGGGCCTGTTGTGCCCATCGTCCAGTGGTCCATAACGAGAATCCCTACCTCACAGGGCTGTGAGGGCTCTGATCTGAGCTAGTGTGTCGAGAAAGTGCGATGCCTGACCCTAAAGTGGGCTAGGTCCCTGCGAAATACTCTGAAGGGCCCTTAGAATTAAACCTTTTCCACATAAGGAAATGGGAGTCGCTGAGAAGGGTACCTCTGTGCCTGAGGCCACACAATGAGGAAATTTGGCATCCGGGCTCAGGTGAGGCCCCAGAATTTTCAAGCCGTAAGAAGATCTGCAGGCTTTGCTGGAGTCAAATCCCAGCAACTACATCTGAAGCCACTTGCTAAACTTCTCTGAGTCCCCATTGCTTCGTGGGAACAATAATAGCTCCCTCCAAGGGCCACGTGGATGAAGGAAAAATGTAGCTAATCATGCACTGCCTTGTACACTTCTCTTTGCAAGTGACTCTCTTCACATGTCCTTGGCCAAAGCTAGTCATGTGGCCATCCCCGATGTCGATGGGGTGGGAAATACGATTGTCCCCTGGGGCTCAGAGCCAGCTATTGTTACAATAATACACGGTATGTGCGATGGTTAGTACCACGCCTGGCACACAGCAGGTGCTCAATAAATGAGCACCATTACAGGAAGAGCTTCAGGCCATTTAATAGCTAACACTGGAAATCCAGCCACATGAATGTGGTAATGAAGGCCCTCAGCTCTACCTATGCCCACCCCTCCGCCTGCTTTCCAGTTGGAGAAAAATGACAGCAGGCATTTCCAAAGAAGTGTTTTATTAACATTTGGGGCCTCGGCAGGGCCAGCGAGGAAGTGGGTGCTACAGGCTCCTGAGGCCCAGGGCAAGGCCTGCAAGGCAGAGGCCATTGCTCAGGACGCAGCCCAGATTGCAAATGGAGGACAGACCATGATAGCGGAAAAAGGTCTGGCGGAGGACACTGTACTTGGGGTCCTGCCCCTGCAGCTGACGGTAGGGGTCGGGGCCCTGGTGGCTTCCAGGCACCTCCCCGCCCAGACCCCGCTCCTTCTCCACCCTGTGCAGGGCCCACATGGCAGCTGTGGTGCGGGGCTCCAGCCAGCGGGCGTTGATGGTGGACAGCGCGAAGCTCAGAAGCAGTAGGCCGAGCTGGTAGGGTGGTGGAAGGAGGACAAGCTGAGTCACGCCTAGGCGGCGGGAGGGCTCCTAGGAAGGGTCCTCCTGCATCCTCAAAGCCCAGAGGTGAGTGGAAGACAGTATTCGGTCAAAGCTAGGCCTCCCTGTCCTTCCCAAACCCCGTCTGGAGGCCCCAAACAGAGCTCCAGCTTTCATACCCTGAAACCAGCAGCTCCTAAGGAAAAGCTCCAACACCATCTCCTCTGTTCACCTCCCCCCACCCCCAAAAAACCCTGAGCCTCTCCTCCTCTGATACCCAGTCTGGAAGTTTCCATAACGCAGCCTTGTCTCCTCCCCTCCCCCGCTCCCCAAAAGTGGGGGTATCTCTGGGCAGACCTCTCTTTCCCAACTTGGGACAGAGAACCATAACTGTTCCCCCAAAAGAGAGCCTAAGACAGGGCCCATCTCCTCTATGGTCCCTGCCCAGACTCCAGAAGCTGAGATTGGGTCCACAGGGTGTGAACAGAAAGTCCTTGAAGTTCTAGTTACCCAAAATCCTCTCCTGTATCTTTGGGATTATTCTTGAAACCCTTGTCAGGCCTTACCTGCCCACATCTGAGGAACATAATGGGGGCAGGGGGAGGGCAGGATAGAGAAATACGAGATGCAGAGATGGTTCCCTTCCTCGTGGCTGGGAAAATGTGTGGATGGGAGTGGGGGACTGTAAATTCCCAGTCAGGCTGGTTTTTAAACAATGAGCTGGGGTCACTGCCCCAACCCAGCTGAGTCACCACAACTTGGCAGCAGGCCCAGCCGGGGGAAAGAGAGGGAGCAGGAGCCAGCAGGGAGACACTGAGGGATAGATAGGGCTGCTAGGGATGGTTGTGCAGGCTGTGCACTGCTCAAGGGTATTCAGAGCCCAGCTTCGTATCCACCAGGAAGGTGCAGTTGCTTGTTTGTTTTAATTCTCATGAAGGTGTAGCCATAGGTGCTCAGTGGGGTCCCGGGAACGAGTCTCCAGAGGACAGTGGAGCCCAAGCCCGCATACCTGGCTGGCCTCCCAGAATGTGAGCTGAGCCCAGGCATGTTGTGGAGCCAAGACGCAGAGGTTGATGAAAGCACAGCCCATGGAGATATGAAAGTAGAAAGGGAAGAGTTTGCTCTGCACGAAGCCGAAGGTATGTCGGGGAAGGCTTCGGAAAAGCAGGAAGCCTGTGGGGTACAGGGGACCACACGCCTGTCAGGACACTTCCAGGCCCCCCCTCTCATTCTTGTCTCCGCCCTGGGTACCCATGATGTCCAGGTGGAGGGTCCCTACCTGAGATGAAGGTCACCCACATTTGCATGCCCCAGGCCCCCGACAAGACCAGTAGATGGACCATCTTAGTCAGGCCTCCTGGATTCCCACCTTCCTCCATCTTGCAGGCCTGGGAAGGAGGCACCGGGTGTTTCAGAGTTTTACCTTTGCCCCAGGGTCTTCAGCCTGTGAGCCTGCTCAAGGCCAGGATCACGGCCAACCCAGGAGAGCGAGATCAAGGGATACCAGCCTTGGTATGCGGGTGGGGAAGACCCAGAACAATCCTGAGACAACCTCCAACCCCATCTCTCCAAATGTCAGCCCTCAAGATCTCAGGATCTCTGGACCCCAGCATCCACGCTGCCTCCGAGACCTGAAATTTTCAATTAGCCCCAGCAGCTCAAACTCGCAGCCCTGGGTATTCAGATATTCCCCCAGTGACTCCCAAAAATTAGCCGAGGACCTAATTCTAACAGTAAAGACCCCTGCTCTCATCTCAGGATCCCAAATATCACCAGGAAGATCCCCAAAGCACCCCCGGACACCCCAGCTAATCCCGGGAAACCCCAAATCTCATTCTGAGGACACCGACCCTATCACTGCACCCAGACCTCAACCCTCGGCACCCAGGAGTCCGAGAACGGCAGTGCCGGGGCCAGATCTTGGGGCCCGGGTGGGCTGGGCTCGCTACCTCACTCCCGTGCTCCTAGGTGGCCCGCGGACCTCTTCAATCACCTCCCAAGAATTCACCCCGCCTCCCAGCTAAACCCGAAGCCAATTGGATCGTAGATCTGCCGCCTTCCGTACCACCCTCTTAGATATTGACTAATCGATTAGAGGAAACCAGCCTGGAATCCCGCCCCCTAGTCTGGCTTTTATCCAATTACACCGCGGCTCCTAAGATCTGCGGAAGCAGGAAGGCGCCAATAAGGCCTTCGGCTGCATCGGCGGGGGCGGAGCTAAAGTGTCAGCCCCACCCCTCTCTGTGACTCTACGTTTAGGCTTTGCGCGTTTTAATGCGATGGTGTCCCCCTGGGATCAAATTTCAGCGTCACAGCTGGGGACTGGCTTCGCGGTCCTTGAGGGGAGAGCATGAGCAGGTGGTATGTGGTAGGTGGGGGTGGAAGGGGGTCTGGAGCCCGGCGGGCGCAGGATTCTCGCTCTGGGGGGCGGGGCTCAGGCTAATGACCCCGGTCATTAGCCTGAGCCCCGCCCCCTTCACCCCAAGAATTCTCCCGGAGACAGCGGGAGAAACAGCTGATGTGGGAGGGGAAGGGGGAAGGTTGAGGGGAAGGGAGGGGGGCTTTACTGGGGACCCACCTGCAGTTGGCACTCAGAAATGCATCTTCTCTTTTCCCTTTCAAGCCTCCCAGGGCTCCTTTGGTCCCGTTTCCCAGGTTCTCAGTGCGACGTTCGAGGACAGTTTCCCACTACTGTGTGTCAGGCGCTGGCACAGATTAATTTACTTAATCACAACAACCCAGTAAGGTGATTAGTATGGCATCCCATTTTTATAGTTGGGGACACTGAGGCATGTTGAGGTTCGGTAACACTCCAACATCACACAGCCGAGAAGGGGCAGAGCTAGGTTTCGAACCCAGGCTACCCAGCTGGAGAGTCCCCTGGCTTAATCATCATGCTGTACTGCCTCTGAAAGTGCGGGCCTCCTGAGACAGTGATTCTGGAAGGGGTAGCCCAGAACATTTCAGGCAGAAGAAAAGCTCCTATATCCTAAAACGGGTGTGAAGTGAGCGCTTAGGATGGTTCCCAGCACTCAGTGAGGTGCTCAGAAAATATGAGCTTAAAAAAAGGATTAAGGATTTTTTACAGAGGAAATGTTGAGTAGAGTTTTGAAGGGTGTATAGCCGACTTCCCGGAGGACTGGGCCAGAGGAAGGACTCCAGACAGCCCAGCAAGGGCAGAAGAGAAAGCCCTAGAGTGTGGGCTTTCTGGCTGAGTGTGACTCAGGACAAAATGCTCTTCACCTGGAAGTTTTTCCAGACAGACCTGCCCCAGGTCTCCATCTGGGCCAGCCCTGACAACACTGGAATGTTGAACAATGGGTATGAATGTGAGACCCAGAGCTGAATTTTTCTCCCATTCCCAGCCTCACCTAGCACAGGCCTTCGGCCCCAATTGTGCTAACATTTACTGAATAGATATGCCCTGTCTCTCCTGCTCATACTCCATGGCTCCCACTTTCCTTGGGAGCCAGATCTAAACTCCCCTGCTTGGCTTTCAATGCCTTGCTTGAGCTGCCCTGCTAACCTCCTCCTGCTTCCTCTTGGACCCTATCTTCAGCCGTCCTGAATTTACAAGCACAGAGCATGTGGTTCCACACCTCCAAGCTTTTGTCCATGCTGTTTCCTGCCAGGAATGCCCTTCCATTAGTGCCCAATGTTAAGATCCTTTTTTGCTTTTAGGCTCTTCTGAGGCTTCACTCTCTCCTGTGGGGGTCTTCTGGATTCTTCTCACTACCCAGCCCAATGCCTGGGGCTGGGATCATCTTTCATCCAGGTTCTGCTCCTGCCATAACTGGGAGGCCCTGTGTTCAGGGCTGAGGCCTCTCTGGGGTATTAGGGAAGGTCTGGGCGTGTCAGGACATGGGGGCTGGTCTCAGTGCAGCCCCCTGTTCCCTCTTGTTGAAGCGACCTGGCTGGCCTACCCCAGGACCCTGACTACTCTGTGCCCTGCTACTGCTCATCTCCCTTGCCCTCCAACGGGTGTTTGCCTGCTAACGGGAAGTGTGGCAAGTACTGGGGTTTGTTGAGGGCCTTCCCTGGGGCTGGGGAGCTGGGAGGGCTGGAGTGCTCTGGGTTGGTCCTCAGAAAGCCCTCACCCCTTCATCCCCCCAACGCCCCATCCCCCCGCCCCCCGTTCAGGTTCTTCCTCAGACAAGACCTTGGATTATACGATTCACTGGTCCAGGGCCCCAGAGCCAGAGATCGTGGGGCCAGCTGCTTCTGAGAACACAGTGCCGAGTCTAGACTGGAGGCTAGAGAGGGTCTTGGAGCCTCAGTCATATGGGTCTTCCATCTTCCCGAACTCAGACTCAGAGGAGCAGTGTAATGACCAGGACCTTCTGAAGAGGCATCACAACACTGCTAAGGTCACCCCCCACCCGGGAAACCCACACCACAATCTACTGCTGTGGGGCTTAGGGAGAGGACCTTGGAGGAGGTCTTTCTCACGAACCTTCACATTGTGTGACTTCAGCACCCAGAACAGCACCCAACGCTCAGCCAACCCACACTAAAAATGTCTTAAATGAATGGATGAAGGGATGAATGGGGAGGATGTGTGATTGTGTTTCTTTCTTTCTTTTTTTTAAAGATTATTTATTTATTTATTTATTTGACAGAGAGAGACACAGCGAGAGAGGGAACACAAGCAGGGGGAGTGGGAGAGGGAGAAGCAGACTCCCCACTGAGCAGGGAGCCTGATGCGGGGCTCGATCCCAGGACCCTGGGATCATGACCTGAGCCGAATGACCTGAGCTGAAGGCAGACACTTAACAACTGAGCCACCAGGCGCCCCTGTGATTGTGTTTCTTAGGTCTTGTCTGTGATAGTTTCTGGGTATGACGGCCTGTGTGTCTGTGGTTGTGGTTGTGTGTCTGAGTTGGGTGTGAGTGGACGCCCTGAAGGTCTTAACCATCTGGCGTGTGCGGCTGTGTCTGAACTTGTATGGCTGTAGTTGTGTTTGAAAGATCGTGTGCGGTTGTGCTTCGGGGCTGTTGGTGCTCCCTGGAGACATTGTCTATGTCGTTTGCCCTTGAGGAGGAGGGCCATTACCTGAGCCCTGGCCAGAGACAGGGCTCCGCAGGGTGCTGTCGGGGACAGGGGACAAACCACACAAGTATGCCTCTGACCATACGTGGGCTGGTGGGGGAAGGGTGCACACACGCATGGAGGCAGCTTTGCCCAGCACTCAGCTGACCCAACTCATACCCAACCCCCACACAATGGGTTGGGGTGTCAAGGAGAAGCGCAGGGATGAATTTCTACTACCCTCATGTCCCCCTTTCCTAGAAGCCCTTGGAGACCAACTCTTCCAAAGTCAAAGGTGAGAACCCTTCCTCCCGACAAGACTGTGTGCGGAAGACCTGCCAGTTCTTACCTCCACCCTCTGCCCTAGCCTGGGAGGAACCACACCACAGCTGCCCACTTAGCCCTGCCCCAGCCTCAGCTGAGTCTTGCGCCTGACCTTGTCCCCCGCTCCTGCCTCTACCTCAGCCTCAACAGACCCCAGCTCTTTACTTGACCCCCTGCCCCTTGCCCTCCCCTGAGCTTCTGCTGACCTCTGACCTGAACTTGCCCCTGCCCCCACTCCTCCTAGCCTCATCTGACCCTTAACTCTGTTCATAGTTAAGTCCACCATGATGATTCCTGACTCCCAGAAGCTCCTGCGCTGCGAACTGGAGTCACTCAAGAGCCAGCTACAGGCCCAGACCAAGGTAAGGCTCCTCTGCCCTGTCCTCGGAGACCTCTGGCCCTGTTCCCCTGCTCCCTGCTCCTGACCTCTTCCCCTCAGGCTTTCGAGTTCCTAAACCACTCAGTGACCATGTTGGAGAAGGAGAGCTGCCTGCAGCAAATCAAGATCCAACAGCTTGAAGGTGAGGACTGGCCAAGGGTCAAAGTCAGGCTGGAGGCTGGTCCTGTTGGGGTCAGCTGGGTTAGCCCAAGGTGAAAGAAGTTAGGTGACTCTAGGGTCAGGGTCAGGGTCTGGCTAGGGTTGGGGCCAGCCGGGTTCAAAGCTGGGCTCAGGTGTGGTTGGGGCTCAGTCACGATCCCCTCTAATCTGCAGAGGTTCTGAGTCCTATGAGCCGCCAGACAGAGAAGGAGGGACACAAGTGGGGCATGGGGCAGGGACAGCAGGAGCTGTATGGGGCCCTAGCGGAAGGCCTGCTGGGACTACAGAAGACCCTGAGTGACAGCGAGGAGGTGCAGAGGGCCCGCACCACTCGCTGCCTGCAGCTGCTGGCCCAGGAGATCCGGGACAGGTGGGCACCACCAGGAGGGCAGCCTGGAAGCTGGGGGAGGGAAGGGAGGCCAGGGAGCAGGAGCCAAAGGTGGGATGTGGGATGAGGCAAATGGGAGAGGCCTGGTAAGGGGACCTGGGGGCCATGGAAGGTTTGAGGGACAAGATGGGGGGATGAGGAGGCAGTGAGAAAGTGTGGGAAGCTGGGAGGCCAGAAGGCAGGAGGAAGGAAGAGGAAGACAGGAAGCTGGAGATGGGTTGGGGAGGGAGGCCAGGAGATCAGGAAACTGGACATGATATGGGAAGCTGGAGGGAGGAGAGATTGAGGGTGGCAGAGGCTGGGGAGTATGGGAGGTCAGAGGGGCAGAAGGTGGGGAGATGGAGGCCAGGCAATGAGAGGCTGAGAGAATGGGAGGCTGGAGGTCAGGAGGTGGGGACAAGGGGCTGGGGGATTGGAGGTGGGGGAGTAGAGGTAGGAGGGGCAAGGTGGGCAGGGAGGTCGGGGGAGGGGACAGATCATGGCGGGGGGGGGGGGAACATGAGAGTTGGAGGAGGCTTGAGGAGGCAGGTGGGCAAATGGGAGGCCAGAAGGCCAGGAAATAGGAGGCCAAAGGCTGAGCAGGGAATGTGGGTCTAGGCTGCATTGTCCCCTCAGCAAGAAGTTCCTGTGGGAGGAGCTGGAGCTGGTGCGGGAGGAGGTGACCTTCATCTATCAGAAGCTCCGTGAGTGCCTGGAGCCCACGGCCAGGAGGGGGGGGTCCTTCTGCAGCTCTGGCCCCCCTGAGCCCCCTCCCCCCACAGAGGCTCAGGAGGACGAGATCACAGAGAACCTGGTGAACATCCAGAAGATGCAGAAGACACAGGTGAAGTGCCGCAAGGTGAGCATAGAGGGTGGGACCCCGTGTGAGATCTGGGGGCATGGGAGTCTCTGCTGGCCTCCACCGTCATACTGGAGCCAGAAGGACTGGATTCAAATCTCAGCTCTGCCACTTAACTGCTGTGTGACCGTGGTCTCATCAGTTCACCTCTCTGGGCCTCAGTGTCCTCATCCGTATAATGGGTATGACACGGTATCCCTATCTGAAGGAGCAGCTGCATGAACTGCATGCTAAACACTTTGAGGGCAGCCTGACATATCATCAGTGCTAAATAAGGGTCACTTTTCACCATTACTGTTATTACCATTGTTGTCTCACACACACTTCCCACCCCCTGGCCTCAGGTCCTGACCAAGATGAAGCAGCAGGGGTGTGAGACATCCAACTGGCCGGAGACTGAGGAGATGCCACCAGGAGGCAGAGGCTCCTGGAGGGATGACCTCCAAAAGGAGCTGAGTGACATATGGTGATGCCCTGCTCCCACTCTAACCTCTGACTCCTGACTTTCATCTGCCTTGCCCTCCCGCCAATCAGTTCAAGCAGCGACTACCAGAACCTGGAACCCACCTGAGTCCAGGCCTCCCTCTCCTCCCAGGATGCACCTCTACCCCTGGCCCCTGATCCCCACCGTGGCCCCCCTGCCCCAGCCCTGAGCAATCAGGAGCTTCCCAGCGCCCCCAGCCCCCCCATCTCCCCACAGGTCTGCTGTGCACTTGCTGCAGAACTCCTTTGATGGCTTCACCATGTCCTCAGGGGGCCTCTCCAGGGCCTCGAACCTCAGGGGTAAGGGGGGATGAGGTGCATTCTGGGGTGTGTGGGAGGGGTCATTCTCCAGTTTCACACATGGAGGTCATGTTCAGAGGCCATATTTGGGGGTCACATCTTTTGGGGCTTCTTCTAGGGTCCCATTAAGGATTTCCATCCTGGGGTCACTCAGGGTCACTGGGATCTTTTTAAAGGATCCGTGGGGTAAAATTCAAGGGTCACTGAGGTCATACTTTGGTATCACGTTGGGTCACATTTAAGTGACAAAAGGGACACTGGCCCTTGATCACAGTGCCACTCAAGGGTCACATTCAGGGTTTGTGGGTGAAAGGCCAGAATTGCACCTGTCACTCCCGCAGGCTACAAGGGGCACCAAGGCCTGAGACCTCTGCTCCTCTCCTGGGACTCGGACTCAGACACAGACCAGGATCCTTCCCAGCCACCATTCAGCAAGAGCCGCTCCTTCCCATCCAGTACGGAAGCTCCCCTGCTCTACCCCACCCTTCCTCTCCTGGCCTGCCCTCCAGTGCCACAGTATGGACCCTCGCAGCTCCCAACCTGGGCATCTGCTCCCTGATTTCCGGCCCTGAGGTCCTCTGGACTCAGCTGGGCCCTGACCGCCCTGACCCACTCTCTCTCCACAGCCTGAGCAGCCGGGACTGCTCTCCCTGAAGACCCCTCCAGAGAGAAAATAAACTAGCCAAGACCCTCTTCCACCTGTGGACTGTTGCTCCTGCTGCTTCCTGTGCCTGAGAATGACCACGCCCACACCCAGTTTACTTTCCAGTGTTGGGGAGGGCGTGGGGACCCCAGAGGCTGTTAGGATCAGGAGACATTGTGAGGCCAAATGTAATATATACCAAGGTCAGTCTGTCCAGATATGAGTATCCAGACAGGCTCTTTCACACCAGCCACCAGAGCTCCTTTCTGGGGGGCCCTGGCGCTCTAGTCTACTGCCCCAAAGGGGAAACTGAGGCACAGGGAGGGAGCGTCGAGGTCCAGGGTCGCGCTCGCACCTTGCCCTCCTCTTCCTCTCAGCGCCCCCACCGCCTAGTTCTCCCTCAACCTGCATCCTTCATTCCCTCCCACATTTGTCTTAACCCTCTCCGGCCCCCAAGAGCAACAGAGGCCCCGCCCCGGACCATGCTAATGAGACGCCGTGAGTCCCCGCCCCACGGGCTTATGCAAATAAAGCATCCGGAGGCCCCGCCCCTCGCCCCTTCGCTGAGTCTGCGCGGCGCTGCCAGGCCGACGGCGTCTCCCATCTCTGTGTCCGCCCGCGGGGCCTGCCGTCCCGTTCGTTCGTCCTGCCGCCCTGGTGACGTCTAAGCGGAGCGGGGGCTCAGACCGTGACAGCCTCGACCCGGTGAGGGAGAGGGGCTTGGGGCGCTCCCGGCACCCCTTCTCGCGGGCTACCGACCCTCGGTCTGTCTGTCCGGCCAGGGTTCAGCTCCTGAGGGTCGGGTCCCCTGTGGGTCCGGCGCAGGGAGGGGGGAGGGGAGGCAGTGAGCTGGGGCTTGAGAACCGGGCTCCGGGAGGGGAGCGTGGAGAGGGGACCCCGGGCCGGAGAAGCCAAGCGGCAGGTGGTGAGGGTGACTGTGATTGTGCGGTTGTCTTTTTGTGTCAGTGTGTGATTGTGTAACTGTAATTGTGTGGCTTTGGGGATGCCTGTGTGGTCTGTGTGGTGTATGTGTGACTCTCCTGTGGCTGTCATTGTGTAGCTGTCATCACGGGTGTCACTCTGAGGGTGTGTGTGGCTGTGTTGTTGTGACTGCTATCCCTGACTGTGTGGGGCCGGCTCGGTGTCTGCACCGTTGTGTGCCCATGACTGCCATTGTGTGTTCCTTCTGATGGTGTGGGGGGCCCATTTTTATGTCTCAGTGTGTGGCTGTGATCATGCGCCTTTCTTGTGTGGCTCGGTGTGCAAATCCGTGTCATGGTCCACGTATGTGCCCTTGCGTGGCCATGTGGCTGAGCTTGTGGATGACATCGTCTTTCCTATGAGTGTCAGTGTGGATGAGACAGAGACTGTTAATGTATGTGGCTGTCACTGAGTGCCTGGTAATTGGGGGTGTGACGCCGTGACCGGTTTATGACCCCCAGTGTGTGTGGTGACTCTTTTTAATGTAACTCTCAGTGTGTTGGCAGCCCTGAGGCTATGTCCCTGATGCTGGTGGGGTGAGTGCTTGTGTGGGGCTGTGTGCCGGGCTGTGAAGTGGATGAAGGACCTCCTCTTGTGTCCTTATGACTGTGTGTGTGTGGGGGGAGTTGTTTGATCTGTGTGGGTGTCTGTGACAGGCCGTGTGCACACTGTGCCATGTGTGTGAGTGTACAGTTGTGTGTAGTGGGTGCTGGGCACCTGTCTGAATGAGCAGGCCTGTCTTGTTCACCACAAGCAAAGTGCCTAGAACCCGGCAGGCCCTGGATCCTTGTTGGTGGAATGGACAAATGCTATCCCGTGTGTGTGTGTGTGTGTGTGTGTGTGTGTGTGGTGTTTGGGCTGGAGGCTGTGGCTGAGTTGTGTACTCTAGGGATGCCAGCATGTGTGATTGTGTCTCTGGAAGGGTGAGGGGCCGTGGCCACATGGGCATCTGAGATCTCTGGTGACCCTCACCCCACATGTCACACTGCAGAGCAAGCTGCGTGGATGGGGCACTGGACCCAGAGTGCCTACCCTCTCCTTCCTGGGCCTCAGTTTCCACATCTGTGCAATGGGGTTGACCATCCCTGCCCTGCTGGCCGCCAGGAGCGGCTGTGAGTCTGTGGGTGTGGCGGAGGCCTGTGGGAAGCCATAGGGCCCTTTCACAGGTGAGGTCAGCCTGGGAGAATGGGTCGAGCAGATGTGGCTCTGTTGGCCCTTCAGTGCTGGGGACTGAGGTTAGATTGGGGGGAGAGGGGGCTTGTTGGGAGAAGATAATCCCCTCACGACACAGAGAGGCAGACGGGCTGGGAGGAGGGGGAGAGGGGGAGGCAGCTGGGCTAGAAGGAGGGCCTGGCCATCAGCCCGAGAACCAGTCAGGCGCAGCCCATGGGGACAGGAGAGAGAGGCCCCTGTGGGCCATGGGGGAAGGGACTCAGAGGAGGAACCTGGTGGGGGTGGGGGACACAGAGCATGGGGTCCCTTATAAAGCACATGGGGAAAGAGAATGGGGCCTCCTAAAAACCAGTGGGGGTGAGGACCCTTCTCTGTGAGGGAGGGGTCCCATTAAACTGGAGAAGTCTCTTCCAAGGGCTATGGGGAGGTGACCGTATGGTAAGGAGGAGAGACCCTCCTAAAAGGCTTGGGGTCCGCATCTCCTATGTGGGCTGTCGGGGGGAGAAGACCACTATAGAATCTCTGGGATCCCTGGCAGAGGATGAGCTGGGCTGGTTGTGTCAGGGGAGGCCTCCAATGGGCAGGATCCTGGATATTCAGAGTCATGGCCAGAAGGCTCAGTGGGTGGAGCCAGGGCTCCTTTGTAGTAGTTCTGGGGTCTGGGGAATGGGGGCGGGGGTCATTGTGTGGCCAGAGACTCTACTCAGGCAGGTGACCAGAGCCTCCCCCCTAGGCCCCGCCCTGGCCGTCCCATTCCCTCCCCACCTCCACAGGCTCGGTCTTCACCATGGCAGGAGGGAGACCCCAGTCGAAGAGGAGTTTCTCCATCATTCCCTGCTTTGTCTTCGTGGAGGTGAGGAACCCAGTAACTCTCACCGCCCCCTCCAGCCCACCCCCCAGATTCGCTCCCAGACCCTCAGCGGGGAGGAGGGGTGTTCAAAAGTGACACTGCCAGAGTTCCAAGCCCGCCCTTACCACAGAACTCCAGGTTCCTCACATACCCTCTTGAGCTTCAGTTTCCTTGGCTGTGGAATAGGCGTAATCAGAGCCCCTTTCTCCTGGGGCGGTTACGGAGGTAAGATGTGTTAATTCACGGAGGAGGCTCAGTATGATGTCCTGCCCCCAGTAAGAGTTGTACTTCTGGGAGCTGCTAGAACTTCTACGAGCAGTTTTATCTTTTCCCCTCTTGGTCTATGTTCCCAGCCCCCGCTGACCCCTCTCTCTGGTCTGAGCCCTGGCCCAGTCCTCACTCGCTCTTCCTCATCCTGTCTCCTCTCTCCTTTCCATTTTACTAGTCCCTTCTCTTTCTCCTCCCCTCCCCTCCCCTCCCCTCCCGTCTTCTCTTTCTGTTTCTGTCTCTTTGTGTCTCCCAGGCCCCGACCATTCCCAGCTTCTCTCTGTCTCTCCTACCCTTTGTATCTCCCTCAGGCTTGATCTGTCTGTCTCTCCTCCCCATCTCGGTCTCTCTCCATCTCTGTGTCTCTCGCCATGGCCCCAGCTTGGACCTGACCCTGTCTCTTCTCTCTCTGTCTCCCTGCCATGACTGGGTGGCAGTCAGTGCTTCTGGGCATCGTGGTCCTGCTTGCTTACCGCCTGGAGTTCACGGACACCTTCCCCGTACACACCCAGGGGTTCTTCTGCTATGACAGTACCTATGCCAAGCCTTACCCAGGGCCTGAGGCTGCCAGCCGAGTGCCTCCTGCACTGATCTATGCCCTGGTCACTGCTGGGCCCACCCTCACGGTGAGACTGGGGGTAGCCTTGGTCAGACCCAGGCGGCAGGAGGGCCAGGTGGAGGTGGGTGGAGGGTTGGATTTGAAGGCCAGGAAGACCCTTCCTTGATCTTGCCCACAGATCCTGCTGGGGGAGCTGGCGCGTGCCTTTTTCCCCGCGCCACCCTCAGCCATCCCCATCATCGGGGAGAGCACCATCGTGTCTGGGGCCTGCTGCCGCTTCAGCCCCCCACTGCGGAGGCTGGTCCGCTTCCTGGGTGAGTGATGTGGCCAGGGGGTCAGCTATGCAAAGGAGATCCGGGCCAGATTCAGCCATAATAATTTTATGGGGAAGAGAGCCTAGAACTACCATGATGATGCCTCATGAGGTGAAGAGGGATGTGGCTAAGGCCAGGCACAACAGAGGTTCTAGGCACAATGGTGGGGCCTAAACCAACCATGGTGGCAACGGTCAGGGCCCCAGATTGCTACAAGGAGAGTCTCAATGCAGAAAAGGGGGACACGGGCCCAGGCCAAACGCCAGTCCACCCCCCACCCCACCCCAAGCAGGAAGATGGACCCCACTGCGTGGTTCCAGCCACAGTCGGTGGCCGTGGTGTAGAAGGGCAGAGCTCATCCAAAATGGTGGTCCCTATGACAGAGGGCTGGAGAGATCTAGCTCTGGCTGATTGTTGAGCCAGGAAAAAAAGTGATCAACTCAGTAACAGTGAGTCCAGGGCAGGTGTAAAGCGGCCCAGAAATGCCATCAAGATGGTCCTAGGAGGTTCCCGGCATGGGCCCAATCCTGATGTCATGCTGTTGAGGTATCCTAGCCCAACTATTTTGGGGTTCCAGAGGAGGACCCGCTCCTGACATGGTAGTAATCCAAGGGGGACAGAAGCAAGAGGCTCAGAGTATCCTCATGGTGGTGCCAAGGGGAGAGAACCTTGGCCCAGCGATAATGGGATATGGCTTTAGGGGGATTCCCAGCTGTGCTTTAGTGATGGTCACAGGAACAAGGGGCCCAGATGAGCCACAGGGGCTCACAGGAGGAGGGCCCCTGGGGTGTCAGGGGCCCAGCATGAACTCCCTCTCCCACCCCACCCCCAGGGGTCTACTCCTTCGGCCTCTTCACCACCACCATCTTCGCTAATGCGGGGCAGGTGGTGACTGGCAACCCTACGCCG